AAAAAAAAAAAAAAAAAAAAAAAATACTCTTTCTATTTAAAGTTGTGTATTATATACAGCCTATAAGCTATATATGTCAATAAGTTTAGTAGCCCATGTCATTTAAAATGTATTGTTTCAGCATATACTATTAGACGATAGAATGATCCACCATGTAGCATACAGACGTAGTATATAAGACCATTTTCGAAGTGTTTAGAACATTGATTTACACAAACATATACTGTATAAAATATATGCATGGATGTAAATTCAAATAAGTGGCAGCGACATGGTGTCCCTAAGCAATCAATGCGTGAACGCAGACGTTTGCCGATTGGATGAAGGTGGGACCTTTTGGAGTTGGGGGTTCTGAGGCCGAAATGAACTCCCGAGTAGTATTTATTTATTTTGTCAATAATACTCTTATAACAAAAGTATTAGTATCCTATTGCGACTAATTATGTGAAACTCGCAACTAAATCAATTATACTAGTTGTTGATCTAATATACCGAAAGTTATGTTTATACATTTGCCACTATCTAGTATCTACTACAAGTAATAGTGTAAAAAAAGAATTCACAATTAATTTGTCTTTAAGGTTGTATAAACGTTACCTTTCCTCAATTTAAATTTCACATGAAAACCTGATTAAAAAAAAGAAGAAAACCTTTCCTCAATTTAAATTTCACATGAAAACCTGATTAAAAAAAAGAAGAAAGTGTATTTGTGTAATAGGTCGATTGTAAAATTGATTGAATATCATGAATTTTTTTTTTTTTTTTTTTTGGGCAAACATAATGAACATTAATAAAGAGTCTACACTCCCAAATGGGAGGAGGATACAACAGCATTAGACAAAGCCAACTTTGCTACCAAGTCAGCTTCCAAGTTCTGAAGACGGGGAATAAAACAGAAAGACAGAGAATCAAAATACGAGATAAAATGGTAGATATCAAACAAAATACCATACAACTCAGGTCTTGACTCTTTCTTCTTCAGCAAGGTGACGAGAGATAGAGAGTCCGACAGAATCACAAGGGATTTAATGTTTGAAAACGCAGCATTCATTACTGCCAAACGAACAGCGAGGGCTTCAGCCATCAACGCAGACGAAACGAAGGTCCGAGACTTGGAAATCTCAGAGAGGTGAGGAGCTATTGGGGAGCCAGAGAAACAGCCTCCTAAACCGCAAACTCCAGTGGTGGGATCCCAGGCAGCATCCACATGACAGGTTACCTCAGAAGAGACATGTGAAGAGGGCGGTTGTCGGGGGTAGAGAGTCACCGGAGACGTAGGATCCGTATTGACTAACAGGGACTCCTGCCATTCACGGGCATCACCAATTGCTTTATTTATAATCTCTATATCAGAGAAAGAGCGATTATTAAAACACAAGTTGTTTCTAGCTTTCCATAAGTTCCAGAGCAGCCACGGCCATAGAGGGACCCTGAGCCCCGTAGGTGGGAGATTACGAATATCCAGACAGGTCGCGAGAAGAACATAGATCGAAGGGCACAGATTGGTAGGAACATCACTAACAGGAGCCAAACTCCATACTCGTTGTGCCACCCGACAATGAAGAAAGAGGTGAAGGTCGTCCTCCACTCCACCGCAGAGCTTACAGGGAAATGAAGTAATCCCTCTGTTAGCCAAGTTTAGACTCACAGGGATAGCTTTTTTGGCCACTTTCCAGAGAAAATCTTTCAGTTTAGGAGCAGTTTGCAGATTCCATATATATTTCATCCAGTTGAAAATTGGTGTAGTAGGGATATTAGGATGCAGAGCCAGCAGACCCACATTGTATCCCGAGCGAATAGAATACTGACCTGTTTTGTCAAACAACCAAGCTAACTTATCCGGGGCAGGCGCAGAACTGGTGATCAGCCTCAAAATTTGTTCTTCAAACTGTGGCAAAACCTCCCTGATTTTATCAATATTCCATTCATTCGTCAGAGGGCACAGGAGCTCGTTTACCCACATGTTAACAGTGTCCGAAGTTGGAGGACCAATAGGAGTACAGGGAGAGATACAGCTGATCCAGGGGTCAGACCACACCCTGATGGACTCCCCATTACCTACAGTCCAACTTAGTCCTTTAAGAAGAAGGTCACGACCCGTCATGATACCCCTCCAGCCATGAGAAGCAGAGGATGACGCAGAACATTCGAGGAAGGACGAGTCCCAAGCATATTTCCCGAGGAGGACCCGGGCCATTAATGAGGACGGGTTTGAGATAATTCGCCAGCCAATCTTAGCAAGAAGAGCATCATTAAACATTTCAATATCCCTAAATCCAAGGCCCCCCGCAAACTTTGGAAGAGTAAGCGTGGACCACGAGACCCAGCACATTTTCCGCTTAGACGGATTGGTATCCCACCAGAATCGAGTAAGGAGAGATTGGATCTGTTTACATAGTGAAGCGGGGAGCTTGAAGCAGGACATAGCGTAACAAGGCATAGCCGAGAGAACCGCCCTGAGAAGAATCTGTTTCCCAGCTCCGGAAAGATAGCGGGAAGTCCAGCTATAAGCTTTTTGCCGAATCCTGTCCACTATAGAAGCAAAAATGTCTCGTTTTTTACGACCAAACAGCTCCGGTAGACCCAAGTATTTGCCAATTCCGCCCTCAGTAGCAATAGAAAGAGTCAGCTTGACTCGGTCTTTAACTTCAGGTGGCGTTCGTGCCGAGAAAGTAACCGTAGACTTGAGGAAGTTAATACACTGGCCTGACAACTGTTCGTACAATTTCAGTATAGACATCAGGGTCGAGACACTAGATAGGTTGGATTTGCAAAAAAACATCGTATCGTCGGCGAACAACAGATGATTAACAGCCGGGCTGTGCCGAGAAACCTTTATACCAGCAAGAGATCCATCCGCAAGAGCATTATCACACATAGAGGAGAGTACTTCAGTACACAAAATGAAGATGTATGGAGACAAAGGATCTCCCTGCCGTATACCACGGGAAGGTGTGACGCTGCCTCGAGGATAACCATTGATCAAGAAAGAGTAAGAAACTGAGCCGATACAACTCATCACCCACGATATCCAGCGCCTGTCAAAACCCAAATGTGTAAGGACAGCTTCAATAAAACCCCATTCGAGCCTATCGTAGGCTTTGCTCATGTCGGTCTTCACCGCCATAGAACAATGTTTCTTGGCTTCAGAGGTACGGAGGAAATGAAGCGTCTCGTGAGTTATTAAAACATTATCACCAATGGCCCGGCCAGCAACGAAAGCCGACTGGGAGGTAGATATAAGACTAGGCAGCAGTGGCTTCAGTCTTTGGGAAAGAATCTTAGCGATAACTTTATAGTGCGTATTACAGAGAGCTATAGGCCTATAGTCACTGACAGTGCGCGGTCCAGAGACCTTCGGGATCAGTCGAATATGAGTCTCGTTTTGGTGGGCATGAAGGCTGTTCGAGGTAAAAAACTCCTTGATATCCCGCGTGACATCTGCCCCTATAATATGCCAGTAGCTATGGTAAAACTTCGCAGAGAAACCGTCTGGGCCCGGGGCTTTCCCACCATTAATAGAGAAAGCAGCCTGTTTAATCTCCAAATCACTTGGAAGCAGGGTCAGGACATCGTTCATATCTTTTGTAACCCTACAAGAGAGGATGGAAGATAAGGCTGAGAAATCGGAGTTGCCATTAGAGGTGAACATCTCCGAAAAGTAATCAGTGATGACTTCAGCTATTTGATGTTCCTCAAACACTTCACAACCGTTTTTATCCTCGATAACAGAGAAAGAGTTGAGCATCCGGCGTTGTCTTGTTACAGCGTGAAAGAAACCTGTGTTTCTATCGCCTTTTCTTAACCACTGAATACGACTCCTTTGTAGCCAGAATTGCTCTTCTTCTTTGTAAGCATTACGCAGTGTTGCAACTAAAGTCTCAATGAGGTTGGAGTCAGGGGAGCTTGAGGAGAGGGCCACTTCCAGGGCAGCCTGAGTATTATTGATGATTAAATTGCTGTTGGCGTTTTTCTCTTTAGCCCAAGCAATAATGCTACGCCGGCAGGAGTTGAGTTTGGCCATTACAGTATCAAGAGGTGACTGGTTCCAGGCTTTATCAACAACTTCCTCGACTTCTGGATTGTCACAAAGAGCCCTATTAAACCGGAAAAGTCCTCTTTTCTTTCCCATTCCAACGCTAAAATAAGTCATAAGAGGTCTGTGATCTGACCCCTCAAATCTC